ACCAATTTATGTGCCTTGTGTATAGTAGATGCTAATAATGATGCTCAAGGAATATACAATATGCTTTGTTTAGGCAGCTAGCTGGAAGGAAACATGAAGTCAGTAGACATAAAAATGTTAGTGGTGCCTGGCTGGCTCAGTAGAGCATGCAACTCTTAATCTCGGGGTCCTGAGTTTAAGCTCCACAGTGGATATAGAGATTACTTCTAAAAAACAGTGATTTCAAAATATTTATGGTCTTTAAATCCCACTAATTTTATTTTCATTTTTAGACATGCTTCCATCATTTCTTCAGAAAGTTGAAGTTGTCTCTGAAGCTTCTAGAGAAACTTGTGTAGCTTTGAGTGATTGCCTTAATCTCTTCACTAAACAAGAAGGGGTAAGTAGTTTGGAATCGAATTTTTTAATAATTGGGTGTCACATACTAGATCATCCAGTAAATCACTGCTTTCAAATTGTCCAAAGGTAGGAGAAAATAGTCTTAACAAAGAAATTGAAAGCTTTGTTTTCACTAAAATTTGGAGAAATCTTTCATTCTTGATTAAGCAGGATGATTCTGAAGTAACTTGTGTTCATATCTAATTTACTTAAATAGCTGTATTTATCAACCATGGTTTAAAGTTCTACTCAGAGTTCTTGTGGCATTTCAACAGGAGGGTTGTGAAAATATTGTAGAAACCAAAGGTTTTATGTGAAAAATACATGATACTTGTATTTAGTAAATAAAGCGATATCATACTTACCTATGTGAACTCTCAGTGGATTAAATATCTTATGTTCTTTACCCCCTGCTCTCTCCCATTCACAAAATTGCCATTTACTTTTCCAAATATTAGAGTGGTAAGTTTACCCGTTAGTAATTCTTTTTCCAAGGATTGAAAAGTTGTAAAGATGTGTTTTGGCTGTCTGGACTAGAATTTTTCTTGTTTTATTTTTTTCCCCTTCTTGTTTTCATGATGCTAATGCAAGTCAAGCAGCCATAGGCTTTCTTTTCCATTTTATTAATTTCTACATATATGTTCAGTCTTCAACTTTTTAGATTAAGACACCATATTTCTTATTCTTGTTATAATTTATTTGTAACTTTTAATTTGATATTAGGTTTTGGGTAAAACAAGATAGATAAAAATGGTTTTATATGTTTCATATGTAAAGATCTAAAATGTGATTACAATGGAAGCTTTGGAAATTCACATAAAATTTTCTAAATGCCAGGTTTGTTATGTACACAACGAATTTCATATTTTATTTGGAGAAAAAAGTATATGAGTAATCTGAAATTCATTTAAAACAAACTTAGAGAAAGTCTTTAACAATTTTATTAACTATCACAGGAAAACATAATTGTTCATTGAAACCTTTAAATGGTTGATTCTTCCAATACTGTTTGAAAACATTCCCTCTCAGCATTTGTATTTTTGGTGATTTCATATTCTAGCTTATTTAAATGAGGCATGATTTCATGATCTAAATAAATCTAAATAGTATTTAGAAGATTTTTGAAATGAACAAATTATGTCTAGGGATTCAGGTAATATTTAATACATTGTAATACTAAATTTCATTAACATCTCTTATATGGCACCTGGTGGATGGATCAAATGTCTTTGTTTTAGAGGTGTATAGTTTCAAGGTAAATGCTAGATTAAAAGTAATTACGTCTAGAAGCCAGCCTATACTAATTTTTAAACTGTTTGCTTAAAAATATAGCCTAGGTAATTACTTCTCTGAAAATCCAGATGTGCAAGAGTATATTAGCTTCAAGTTTAGGCTAATTAGACTTCTAAATTTGTCATGAGGATTAAATAACAAAATGTATGCAAAATACTTAGCATAATTCCTGACACATAGTAAGCCCTGAGTAAAAATCAACAATTATTATTGTCGGATACTGTTTAATTCTTAACGCTTGTGACTCCTTTTTTTCTGATGGCATTTTGGAGCTTTTGTCTTTAGCACTTGAATTCAACTCGTTTTGGAAGGAGGAGGTATTGTCTAAAGAAAATTTGAGTATTTGTAAATGATTATGTTCTTTTCATCCTTATTATTCAAGTGACAAAGGTTATTTACGTTCTCTGAACTTTGATATTTTTATCTTTCAAATAAAGGAGACCATATAGTAAGTCATTAACAGCACTAGTCTGAAAGTCTAATGGACGTTTTTATAATCTGACTTTTCCCTAACCTACTGTGGGGAAGTTTCTGTAAAATGAAAATATATAAACACCTCAGTGTCGTCAGGTGTGGGGATCAAATGTATATAGATGAATAATATGTATATAGAGCATATTAACATACTGTGGTACACAGTACTCATTTAGGAAATGGCATTTGTTGCTTCAAACTTTCAGAGTATCTTTAAGATTCTTTTTCAGTAATGCTATAAATATAAAATATCAACTCTGTGAGGTTCTCAAAAGAATTTATTCTGAGAAAAAGGATTATAGACAAATGGGCCCCGAAATATTTAAAAGACAAAATGGGATCATTGAAGTTAGTTTTTCATGTGGCTAAGACCTACAACATGGGACTTTAATAGTGTACTTGAGGTACGAGAGCAGAATAATTTGACATTATAATGCTTTATTTATCTGGAATCAAATTATATATCTATTATCTAGAAATTTTGTTAACAGTCATAAGTTTTGGGATCCCTGGGTGGCGCAGCGGTTTGGCGCCTGCCTTTGGCCCAGGGCGTGATCCTGGCGACCCGGGATCGAATTCCACGTCGGGCTCCCGATGCATGGAGCCTGCTTCTCCCTCTGCCTGTGTCTCTGCCTGCCTCTCTCTCTCTCTCTCTCTCTCTCTCTCTCTCTCTCGCTGTGACTATCATAAATAAATAAATAAATTTAAAAAAAACAAAACAGTCATAAGTTTTGAATTCAGAGACTGGGTCTGATTCCATGCTTTGCTCCTTAATCTCTCTTTGCTACAGTTTTCATATACAGTTTCCTTTTTAAAGTGGCAACCAACCAAAAAAGAATGTTTTGAAAAATAAGTATGATCATCTTGGCAAACACCCTATAAACTATACCTGGCACATAATGGGGATCCAGTAGGTCTAAGTGATCCCAGCCCCCACAGTAGCAAAACTGTTTTTATTGTAATCTTTTGATGACAGTTATTCTGAATGTTATGCATTTACATCTTATGCTCAATTGTTAACACTTATCTTTTCTAGGTGATTGTCCTTTTGTCCTTTTCTATGTTCATAATTACTCTGTGTCTTAATACACAGATGTCTTCAGGGGGTAATGTTTATAGAACAGTGTAATTTGACTAAATGGCCCAGTCCTGCTAATGCTCTTGAATTCACTTTTGCTATTTATGGGTTTAAAATTTTTTTCTGTTGATTTTTAGATCGACTGTGTGTCTGTCTGTACCAGTGGACCACTGATCCCTTCTGATTTATTCTTTCTAATGTTGTTTACTAAAAAGAAAACCAGATAATCAAACTTGCTGGTAAAACTATGTCCACAGTAAGAGCAAGCTGGCTCTGCATGAGAAATGTAGGGGTTTATAATGAACACAGGTTCCTGGATTTGGAGCTTTGTAGTTCTGTGGTATGTGAATATTCTCTGCTTATTTGGGGATGCTTTGATAGGACCCAGATAGTCAACGTTTTCCATAGACCTCTACATAAATGGGGTGGATTATGGATGCATATTTTACTTGCAAATAACACTCTTTTGTTGAAAAAAAAAATCCTGCAATATAGAAAGCAAGCTGTAAAGCTTGTGATTGACTTACTAAAGAGAAACTTACCAGGTGTTTTTAGGGTTGGGGAAACATTAGAGAATGTGAGTGCCTTCATTTGTCTTTACCTTTGTTTGAGAATTCCATTCAAAAAGCTAGTGGGACGCCTGGCTGGCTAGTGGGGTGCCTGGTAGAGCACAGGGCTTTTAATCTCAGGGCCATGAGTTCAAGCCCCACATTGGGCATGGAACCTACTGAAAAAAAATTCAAAGGCTAGAAACTGGCTTCATGAATTATGTTTGTTTCTGTACTTTTCCTCACTAGAAGGTGGTATCAGAAGTGGCTAAAACGTCACACAGTGCCATCATTGGTCCCTTTCTTGTTTGGCATATTATTGAGCTCCCTCTGATATTAGTCAAACCAGTTTTTCCAAAGTAGGAACTTGCTTATTGAAAATTAGTGTAAGCTCACTCATAAAATCCTTTATACTGCCTTTTTTTTTTTTTAAGATTTTATTTATTCATGAGAAAGAGACATAGAGGGAGAAGCAGGCTTCCTGCGGGAAGCCTGATATATGGGACTCGATCCTGGGACCCTAGGATCACACCCTGAGCCTAAGGTAGATGCTCCACCACTGAGCCACTCAGGTGCCCCTACTTTATGCTTCTGTTTTAAAATTCCTGACGGCTAAAGAGCTGTAACCCAAATGTATGATTGGGATGACAGTGGTGCTGAGTTTGTCGTGTAATGGAGACATCTGGACCTTCAGTTGGACCAACCAAAAGGTAGTGCAACTTGGGACCAAATGCTGGTATCTTTGGAGAGAAGCTCCTCCTGTGAGCTTTCAGCTCTATGAAGTCGAGGACTCTAATATTCCTAGTCTCTTGGGCTGTTGAAGATAACTCCTTTAGTTATCTCTTTCATTTTTTATTGTTTATACCTTTTGGGCCTTTACCTCTGTCTTCAGTCTCCTCCTTTCCCTCTGCTCTGAGCAAAATTCTGTATTAAACATGGAGGCAGTGCCTGCATTTGCTGCCAGTTCCTTGCCACTCCCAACCCCCCAGTTCCCTATCTTATTCTTTCCTTTCCTTGGCATCTGTCTCCTTCCATCCTGCTTCAAAAACAGCTCCTCTCTTTTGCATTCTCTACTCCCTTACAGCTTCTGTCTCCTTACATTCCTTTCCAGTTCTATTTTGGAAATGTGATACTTTCTGTTTCTACTTCTTTATTCCTCAACTAGCCCACTGAAACCATGCTTGCCAAAAATCTGCTTACTGCTAAATTAGAGGATACCCTTAAATTACCTTGCTTGTCCTGTGACAGGTCTGGCATTTGACTACTTGCTTTTTGGAGTTCTTCTCAGTGATTTCCATGGTGCCTACCTCTTCTGGCTTCTCTTTCCTTTAGAGCAGTTCCTCCTCAGGTTTCTTTTGAAGCATCTTTTCTTCTGCCTGTGCCTTGAGTGTCAGTGTCCCTGGTTTCTGTGGGTGGCCTTCTCACTCAGCATTCTCCTTGGATGATCATAGGCATTCCTGCAAACAGAAGTCCATGATGACTCCAATATCTCCACCTTAGATCTCTCCTGAGCTGTGAACCAGTATATCCAGCTGCCTTTTGAACACAGGCATTATATCACAGGCATTTCAAAACCAGTGTGTCTAAAGCTGAATTATCCATTCAACTCAGAATTAGAATTACCACCTATCCAGGAACCCAAGCCAAGATCATGGGAGCTATTCTCAGTTCATCCTTCTTCCTTATCCCCCTGCCCCGCTTTTATCAGGTTCTGTCATTTTTACTCCCTGTCTCTCAGCTGTCTGTCTCCCTGTTCTCCCTCTCCTCCCACCCAGCACTCAGCTCCTGCACTGCCACTTTGTGAGGACAGAGCTCTCCGGATTGCTCTGTTGGATGACTGCCACCATTTCCTCATCCCAGGTTCCACCCTTTGGAACTGGTTTAGATATCCCTCCTATTCTGAGTCCTTTCTGTTGTAGCACTTAACACATTGTATCATTATATATTTACTTGTCTGATTATATATTATGTATTGACTCAAAAGCCCCTTAAGTAAGCAACTGTATCTGTTATTTTTGTAGCATCTGTGTCTAGTATAGTACTTGTCATGTAGTAGGCAGTTAATAAATATCTAAATGAATGCAAATGAATGTACAAAGGAAAGAATACAAAGATCAGACCAATCAGGGTCTACTCTCTGCTGTCTTGACCTTGAGCAAATTAATACATGTTTGGGAATTTCACTTCCAAATCTGAGAGAATACAGATGAGTTATTTTATGTGAAGTTCCTCAATACAGTGCCTGGCACAGTTTAGGTTCTTTGTAAATTGCCTTCTAAAACATGTTATTTTTACTGCCTAGTACTACTTTTGTAGGCTGAATTCATTCTCTAATTTTTAGAACCCAGGAGGAAGATTCTGTAGCAGCTGCATTTAGTGCCAAATGTGAATTTTCACAATAACATTTAGTTATCAGTTTACAATGGGGGAGGAGGGAAGCAAACTGACTTTTCAAAGACACCATGAAACCTCATTGACATTAATTCCAGATTTTCTAGTGTACTGTTGTATCATCTTTTACACATTTTATATCTGTAGCCTGGTTACAGCCACCGCTGTTGGAACAGCAAACTTAAAGTACCCTAGGATCTTGTCAAAGAAATAGTTTGGTTCAGTATTACTCTGCTCCCTAAAGTTTGAGGACAGGTTAATACTGTTTAAAACTAATACTGTTTATTATTTTTAAAAATACTGTTTAGAACAAAAAGTCATGTGTGCCCCATCCCTATCAGAGCTTAATAGTTAACTAGAAATTTTATTATCCTGAACATCTCACTTAGTGTAATATTTATGTGGTGGGTTTTACTGTCCTTTGAATCTGTCTACCCTTCAAGCCTGGCTGGAATAAAAAAAAAACATCTATTTCATATAAGTAGGTTTCACATCAATAGGATTAATACCATTGTTTTCCTCATTGCTCAAATGGTAGCTTAGAAAGTGCTTAAAAAAATAAATGCATGAAGTCTAGTTCAATCTTTGTAATGGAATTAGAAACATTCAGTGAAAGCCTGACTAAGGGTCAGTTACCTTTGAGGCGCAAGAGACCAAAGAGGATTCCTCCGCTTTTCCCCAGGGGCGGGCTGGCTCTTTAGAAGTTGTCAGGGCAGGCGTCGCCGGGAGAGGGCTTGAGCACCCAGCCCGCTCTAGGACCTCGCAGGAGCCTCCTTGGGATGCACGCAGAGCTCGAGTAGCAGTTTCCTTACTTCCTTCCCTCGAACTGCGGGCCAGCGGTCTGCCCGTCGCTCGGAGGGGCTGTGTGCAGGCTCTCGTTGTCCCGGGCAGGTCCCTACCTGCGCCTCAGCGGAGCGGGCCCCGCGGGAGGGGGGCCGGGGGAGGAGGGACTGGACGACGACAGCGGCAGCGCGGAGCCGCCTGCTGCAGGCCATTCGCAGCGCTGCTGCTCGCACTCTCCCCGGCGAGCCCTGGAGGAGGGCGGCTCTGGCTCTGCGGCGAGGGGCGCTGCACGGACCTCTGGTGGCCTGAGGGCCAGAGCGGGAGTCCTGGGCCGACACTCTCCTTGACCTCCCTGGAGCCCAGGGCGGGCCGAGCAAAGGTGACTTAGGGAGACCTTGCGGTGCCGCCCTGGGTCGCGCCTCCGGGCTGGGCTGGAGGGGAGGCGGAGGAACAGGAACAGGCCGAGCGCGTTTGTGCTGGAGCTGCCCAGGGAGCGCAGGGCGGAGCGCGCGGGCGGGGATCCCCAGATCCGGCCCAGGTGGGTGAGTGCGTGTGCCCCCTGGGGGCTTTGCGCGGTCAGCCTCGGGACGGCAGAGGACGCTGGGGGGAGGAAGTGGGGGAGGGCAGCCAGACGACATCTAGGGATGTGAGTAGATCCAAGAATAGTTGGACGCGTGAGTGCAGCCTCCGGCGAATGGGGAGGGTTGCGTGAAGCCGGGACCCTCCCAGCCTGGCCAGGGTCTTCCTTGCCGCCTGTGTACTTGTGTCGGGTTCCCACAGGGAGAGCCACTGGGGGGAAAGGCAGTGGACAGCTCCCCTCCCCCCCCCAGCTAAATATTGGTAGTAGGTCAAGTGGGGCCGGAGTGGGAGGAGTAAGGCAGTGAAAGACATTATTGTCCTAAATAACCTTTCAAGTTAGTGATTTTTTGCTTGTCTCTGCCCTGGCTGACATTGAGATGAACTTACCATCCACTGTGTGAGGCCGCTAAAATTCCAAGGAAACGCATGAGTGGATTAAAGAGAAAAAGGGAAAATTATACTGGGGCTGAGGAGTGGGGAGGGAGATAGCCTTTTAACTTTGTTTTGATTAGGATTTTTGATTACTCATAGGCTTTCTTTGTAGCCTAAACCAGTGGAGAATCACGTTCCCTAGCATTCAGAGCATGTGGCTAGTTGTTTTGTGTTTTTTGTTGTGCTGGTTTTTTCTGGATTTGGAGAGAGGGTAGTAAGAAAGGAAAGATGCCAGAGAGGAGCATAGTACAGCTTTTGAGAGTTATTAAAGCTATTAAAAGTTTCTTAATTTCAATTAGGCTCAAAGACAGAATGAAGGCATTTTGTTTTAAAGACATGGAGTAACTTAGGAATCTTTTTCAAAAGAGAAAAATGCTTGAAATGCGTGTTGGTGGAAGAATGTGTAGGCTAGAATATGGGGATCTAAATGTAAATTTTCTTTTCAGTTTGAGGACACACTGAAGTTAATCGCTGGTCCAAATAATGTTTGATTTCAGCGAGAAGCTGATAACTTTGGTAGTTAGGTTGGTTTTGACTGAGTAGATATTCTGTCTGAACATGATGACCAGAGAGGTATTTCAGCTTTTGTCCTGGTACTACTTTTACTAGACTGGGATCTTAAACGCATTTGTGTCATTGTGAATATGATCGCAAGACTCTGGTCTCCCCTCTTTAGAACCTCTTTAAAAGTTAATTTTAGGGAATTTCATTGAGGGTGAAAGTGACCTACATAATCTCTGTTCCTTTGCTTGTGCATCTTGCAAAATGAGGGAAAATTAAAAAGCTCATTAGATTTTCCATATTAAAAGCACATGCATGTACTACAGGGTAATATATAAATTCAAGCACGTTTAGAATACTGTACATAAGATAATTGATAAAGTAATTATGCAATAGTATGTGCTCTGAGCTTTGTACAATTTATATTTGTCATCTGTATTCTTTTAATAGGCTTTTATGAATTAGTATTTTAGTATTCAAATATATAGTTATGTTTATAAGCTCTGTGAGGATTATAAAAATTTTTAATTCCTTTAAAAATTAGAAATCTAGATTTTTTTTTTACTTGGTCCATAATTTTATTCGTAAACTTTCAGCTTGTATGTATAGTCAGGAAATAGACTACAAGTTAATTTTGGAAACAGGTAGGATGTAAGTTAAATGTTCTTACTGTTTTTAAAAGTTTTTAATATGAAGTTTATGTAGCATGAAGCAGGTTTTCATTTTGATAACTTGTGAACTATTTGATCAAAAATACTTAAGATTGTAATTATTTCAGCAGTATGAAAAGAGAGTGTGTGTGTGATATTAGCCTTGTCATGCTTGGTATGACCCCAGATCTTTTCCTGATAACTTTTTGTATCACAGTGGTACCAAGTCTGTAACCTGCATGCAATTGTATTTGACTTGTATTCCTATTACTACAGTGCCTAATTTTTATGCTATCTGATGAATTTTGAATGAGTTATAGGCAGACATAATTTTCCTTTCATTTTAACTTGAGTAATAAGGCTATAACCCATATACATTTTTATAATGCTCCACCATTGATTGATATCTATTATTTTATGTAAAAACTTCCTTAATAAGTATTTACATAGTGTTTACCTCATCAAGTATCTTGCTAAACCAGTCAAGGCTAGATGAATTAGAAGGGTTTTCTTGAAAAGTTTTATCAAATATGCCTAAAGAGGTATCCCCAAGGTAAGTTAGAATGACTGAAAGATTTTAATCAGGGGAGATATTTAATCAGATTTGCTCCTTATGAGAAGGATTAGAGGAAGTCCTCAAAACAGGGTGACCAGGTGCAGGAATTCAAGAGAGAGATAATCAGAGTCTAAACGTAGCTGGTGGCTACCAAAGATAACCTCCTGGGAGCTGATGATAGTTGAATAAATGAGGAATGAAGGAGAAGATGGAGTCCTAGCTGACTCCCAGGCTTATGGTGGATAAATCACTGGATGGAAGGTGACTAAAGGAGGGAATAAAGGGAGTAGGGGGAGGATGAGTTCACCTTCCGACATGATGACATCCAAATAAGGGCAGCCTTACTCATCCAATAAAAATTTACAGATCATTGGTATTGGAGGTCACCTTCATAAACATGGAGCTTGTTGAGTAAAGAATATCACCCAGGAGACATACAGCTTAAAAGGTTTGAAATCAAAGGATTGAATACTGATATTAAAAGACACGTGGGAGAAAAGAAAGCCCGTGGACAGCACTAAGCAGCAGCAACAGCTGGAGAGGCAGGAAAAGTCCAGAACAGTGGAGGCCAGTGGGGACAATTGGGTCAAAATTTTGAGGTAACAAACTAAGATGTGTTCACTATTGGTCTTTGATGAGGGGAATTCTAGAAGCATGACCTAGGGAGAAGCTAAATGGCAATAAACAGCAGATTAAATGGGAAGCGAAAAAGTAGAAATAAAACAGACTGGTTTCTATAGACAGTCATAATCTATGAATAAACTACAGTTTTGTTTGTTTGTTTCTTTCAATTCTTGCATCTCATTTTCATGTTCCTAATGTATTGGCCAGGTCCTTTAAGACAGTGGTGAACAGAAGCTGAGATGGTGGGAATCAATCCTTGTTTTTTAAAAAAGGCACAGTTCTAACTTCCAACGACTTACTATTAAAAGTGATACTTTTAGTAAATACCATTTCCTAGATTAACAAAGTTCTTTTTCATTCTTATATTGTTGAGTTTTTTTTTTTAATCATGAAAGGGGGTTCCATTTTATCATATTCTTTCTGCATTTAATAAGAATCATAAGGTTTTTCTTTATTAAGGTGGCAAATTTATATGTTTTTTTTTCAAATTATATTTTTTTAGACTTTTTAAATGATAAGCCATCTTTGTTTACCTGGAATAAACCTAATTTGGTTATTGTATTTAACGTTCACCTCAATTTGGTTTATTTGGATTTTAGCATCTATTTATGAGTGAGATTGGCTTATAATTTCTCTTTTTTGTTCTCATCAGACTTTAGTATCCAGGTTTTACTGGCTTCATAAAGCCAGTAAAGTATTCTTTACTGGATACTGGAGTATTCTTTATTGGAGAATACTGGAGTATTCTCTTTTTTCCCTGGAAGAGCTTATATAAAATTAAAGTGATCTGTTCCTTCTTGTAAAGTCATCTTTCTGAGATTTTTTTAAACTATTAGTTAGAAATATTTAATAATTATAGGACTATTTTAGTTTCTGTTTCTTGTTGGGTCAATTTTAACAAGTTAACTATTTCCAGGAATTTATCCTTTCCATTTAAGTTTTGAAATTTATTGTTATAAGGCTGTTCATTGTAGTCTTATATTGTCTTTTTAACTTATTTTGGATCTGTAATTACATATTTTTTCCTGATGTTTTCCATTTTTTTCCTAATATTTATTTGGATCTTCCAATAAATTTCTCTTTAAAATGAGTCTCTTTAAGGTTTTGTTTATTAGAATATTTTTCAAAGAACTCTCTTTAGCTTTGTTATTTGTTTCATCTTTTTAATTTTTATAGTTACCTCTATCACTTTCAGTTTATTTTTTTCCCTAATATCTCTACATTTATTATTCTCTTGTCTCTTCGAAGTGGATAATTTTTTCAAAATTTATTTTCCATATTTCAAGTTGTATGTTTTGTAATTCTAGTATTTTATAATTGAGTTAATATATTTCTGCCAGCTTTATCCATGACTTTGATTTTCTTACAGACTTCAATAATGCATTCCTAGACTTCAGTTTTCCAGACTGAGGACTGCTAACATATGTAGAGTACTGCCCTTTTAATATTTAAAACATGTAAAACTTTTGCCAGGGTTTTAATTACTTCCATTTTTTTTTTTCTCTCTCTTACCTGACTCTTCTTGTTTTCATTGGTTGGCATTTCTGTTTCCTTTCCAGACTTGCTTCTCACTTTCTTCCTCTTTTCTTCACCTTCACAACTTCTTTTCTGACTCTTGACAGTCTGCATGGTGGGAGAATGATCAT